ACTCGATAATATACCATATAATTAATAATATACTCATATACATTAACTGGTCGTGTCTATACTCATTACACTTCCTTCTAACGATATGCTATCTTTACGATATAATATAATGAAACTAATGAGAACGCCTTCTCTATCAGGTCGGCCCTTCTACTACACACATCGGCGATGACGATACAGGTAGCTCAGGGGCCAACTCCCCATTCCTCGAACTCCCGTTCGAGTTACGTCTAGAAATATATGAGTATCTTCTATGCTCACCGGATGATATTATAATATCATCGAGACGTCGCCAGATTTATTGGCACCGTCCACAACTGCCTACGTGCGAGCTTCGCTGCCTCCCCCACCGAATGCCACACATAGAGTTGCTACGTACCTGCAAGCAGGTAAATTCAGAGGCAACTCCTATTGTTTACAGGAAAAATAAATTCCTCGTAGTCTGTACGTCCCCTGAGTTCATACAAAATAAAACTTATATTGTATACTAACGACGTGGGCGCTATGGAGTGCCCTATATGGCACCATTCTGTCCCATGAACTTCTTCCTGTGGAGCCTACGGCGATCGACCATCTCCAATGTGACCTCTATCATTTTTGTCTTTGCCTGTCGCGATAATTGTCCACTGTGGCTCGATTTATGTCCCATCATAAAAGGAAAGTTATTGAACCTAAAGAAATGGACTACAACGGGACCACAGCTGGTCAAATTATGTTTCCCATATTATAGCCAGCCACATTGGCTACCTCTATCAAGCAGAATATGGGACGTATATGCTCATATTCGTATTGAAGTCTTCAAGGATAAAACTGCAGTACTGAAGGGATATGATTGTGGCAGACATAGGGAAGTGATACTAGGCAGACCGGGCCGTAAGAAAGAGTTGGCACCGATGAGATTCTGATTCTTTAGATTGCTCATATCTGTCTGGCTGCCTAAACCACACCCGCCAGCACACTTAATCTTGTTTCCTTACGTCCACGGGTTTGTTGTATCTCAGCGCGGATAGAGCGTGGGAAAAGCAAGATCCGGGAAATTTCTCAGGGCTAGGTAGTGAAGGTAATATGATACCTCTCGAGTAGCGTAGTTAGACTTCCGAATACCCCCTAGTTCTCGGTGAAAAGTTTTCACTGGGCGAAAATCCTTTGGATATACGATCTTACGTTACGATGACTGATCTTATATCTTCGGACAACGAGGGAGGCTACCAACTAACACATCTTGATTGGCTTGCAACTACTTATTGATGATGACGTGTCTGCGTTCATGTAACCTGCTCGCAATTTATCTTGGTCAGGAGGGCCTATTATATCAAGGTAGGGAAGAGGGTTGGGGTGGGATTCCTATAGGATGGAAATTGGTAACTTAGCCTCGTATTACTTATTAGACAACCTCTATCTATTATCAAGTATCGCGAGTCATACCGACCCGACCCCTTTAACTATAGGTCTCCGGAGTTTATAATACTACACTTTCCTAGAATAATAATACACGCAGGGCAAGCTTGAACATATAAACATCTAGGAATACTCTGAGGTGTGTTGGATATCTGATATGAGGTTCACGAAAAGCCCGAGCAGAAACCTCGCCCAGACCACTATAAACCAGTTGTGATACACCCTCGAGACCGAAATCCCACCTTCTGATTCCAATACTGGCTGCCAGCATATTGCTCTCGCCAACGTGTTCTACTGCTAGAAGTGAAGGCTTATGGACTTAATAAATATTACTACTACCTTGATAACCCTACGCCCATATCTTTCCCGGGGACGACTTTTATTCTTTCCCGCGTTCGTTTCCCACTCCTCTACGTAAAAAAACGCCATAACGGTTCACCATATGCTCAAATACCTCATAATTCACTACGCTTGCGCTATTTGAATATCGCCGGCAACTAATCTTGTCCCGGACTCCTTGTAGGTAGATACCATGCCACCTCACAACACATACGATCATAGATCCTTGCGGAAGCTATGCTCCGGCTTATGCGTAGTCTCGTAGTCAACATGAACATAAGCGCGCTCGATATTCGGAAGCTTCTCAAGCTCGGTCTGCAGACCCTCTGAAACATCGTGGGTAATGCGCAGCGGGTCGGTGGGATCCATGACGATATCGATCTCGGCGATGAGCTTAGGGCCGGCGTGGTAAACGCGGACGGTGTCGATGCCGAGGATAGCATCAGAGTACGTCAGACACACGTACGTGATGAGGCGGTGGACGTCGATATCGGCCGCGCGCCCCACCAACGTCATGAACTCCTCGAAGGCTTGGTGCAGCCACGCGCCGCTGATGATCAGCGAGATGATGATCGCCCCCATAGGGTCAAGCCACCATGCTAGCTTCGATCCGCCGACGGAAGTGAGTACACCGAAGCCGTTGATTAGGAGGTCGTTGCGGTGGTCCTGCCACAGGATGTTCACCTGGCTGTACTTGTCCTTAATACCCCAGCAGTACATAAACAGGCCAAATTTCGTTGCAAAAGCCACGCACACCGCAATCACCGAAGGCAAGTGGAAGTTGTTAACTTCAGTCGTGCCTCGGCGGTTCGAGATATCCTGACATGAGAAGGCGATTAGGATGGCGGACACGGCCGTCATCATGAAGCAGAACGCGATGTTCCCCACCGTCTCCAGGCGAGCCTTGCCGGATGGGAACCTATTAGGATCTACCCGTTTCATAGACTGCTGAACAAGGATTAGGGTGAGGTTGCTCATGGGGTCGAAGATGGCGTCTGCCATAGTGGTGAAGAGAGATAGAGAGCCGGAAGATACGGCTCCGTAGATCTGTAGACCTGCCAAGAATACATTGGCGACAAAGGAGCCCATGACAGCAATCTTAACCCGTAGGTTGTCGTCACCGGCCTCGTTCTGGGCTTCGGTGGAGTGCTCCTCCACCGATTTGAGCATTTGCTTGATCGTGTCATTCTGCTTGTGGTAGAAGGTCTGGACCCTTCGTGCTCGGAGGTTGGATGTAAGCTGGCCGATACTTGAACTGACAGCACCCGTGCGCTTGCGAGCGGTATTAGCTTTGATCTCGTCTAGCTGCTCAGGCGTCTTGAAGGCCGAAGACAAGTTATAAGGGTCACTGCCGCCATAGCGGTTAGGACCGGTCTGCGACTCAATATCTGTAGCTGTACTAGCTGGATGGCGAGCTACAGGGTGATCACCGTTCTCATCCATGGCTTCTACACCTGTGCTTGTGGCATTGTGGTGAGGGACAGGGGAGTGATGAGACTGCGATACAGGTGTATGGACCGAGGACCGCGAGCTAGAAGCTTGCCCGTGCTGGTAATCGCTTAAATGCGAGCGCGAGGCCGCAGAAGGCGAGTTGTTAGATGTCATAGCCTTAAGAGAGCTCGGACATACAACCGGAGATGCCAATTACTCCTATCTGTAGGTGAGGAATTAGATAAGGCTTAGAATATGTATAAGTTGTGATGCGCAAGGGGGAAAAGGAGGAGGATAAGTATTTATAAGATCCCCACTCCTAGAGTACCAGAGTCAGAGGAGAATATGTTTAATGTTCTCGACGTTGCTGGTCTCTATTTACGCAGAGTTAGTGAATTTGAAATTATCAAATATGAAGCTTACCTGTTTGTGATTATGGAAGATTATTGATTTGAACTAAAGTAATTTCTTGTAAGCAAGAGCTACAAGTACCGTGTCTCATAAAATGTAGTACAATTATGTAAGATAGAATAGAAAGAATAAAGTCTTTGTAGGGAACTTTAGTGACGTAAATATGTAAGGTAGATTTGTAGATGTGCAAGCACTAACAAGACTATTGAGCGGGAACTAAATAAAAGATAAGGTAGTCACGACATTACCATTGCCATTGCCATTGCCATTATCATTATCATTACCATTACCAACATTTCCAACTCCAAGCTTTAGCGGTGAGAAAGCGGTAAATAACCACTAGTCTACCCTACCAGCCTACCATACCTAACCTTTATCCTTCGACTCCAAGAATGATCACACTATGACGAACGAGCTTAGCTTCGTGTGGCAAAGAGCCGAAATGCGAAGAGCGGAGATGGGGGATAAGGCAAAATACCCATACCCAAGCCCAAGCCCACGCCACGCCGACTCAAAAAAAAACGTGCCAACTCCGGCAATCCAACACGCGCTCAAATCCGCCATTGTGATTTGTCTACACGAGATAGACAAGACAATGGTACCTAACCCGGGTAACCTACGTAGCGTAGCGTAAGCTGACCGTAAGTGGAGAAGGGACAAGTTACATAGCAAGCCTGCAAAAAAAAAAAAAATGTTGAAATTGTGAATAATTAATTCAACCTCGGCCGCCCGAGGCGAAGAGCTGACGCGCGATTTTTTCGTCCGACGAGGTTGATTGAACTTTCTGTTGTGGAAGATTGAAAGTTTTTGTCTGTGCGGCTTAAGAGTGAACAAAACTTAAAAAAATCAATGCAGATGTCAAACGGATCGGGTCGAACTTTTATATATATATACCAGGACAAGGGCTGCTGTAACGGTAAAATCGTCTGATGAATTCGGGTCCCGTCGGGAAATGCTGTGCGTCCAAAAGGGATCCCTACATATTCGCAGTACCTTAGTACATACAGTACGTACATATATGAAGGACATGCGATTTTCGGAAGGTTTAATAAGAACTGCGACATCTATCTGATATATTTGATGAATTTATCACAGGTCGAGTTCTAATATTTAACCAAGTTTAAAGCATATCAATATCTTTAAGGGCGGATCCAGTACACTAAAACTGAGGCTGTTACTATTCATAACCTCTCATATTTGGAAATGCGTAGCAATACCATACATCTCACTTCTCTACTCAGCCAAATAGTAATCTAGACAAGTCATCGCAATATTGCAGTTCTATCATAGTCCCCTAATCTAGTCCAGCCCAATCCAAATCATTTCCATCCAACGTTTATACCACCCATATATAGTTTCCTCTAGGGGTATCAAGTCCGGTCCTCTATCCTTCATATACTGAGCACCCTAACCATATACCCTCACGCATCCGCTCGCCTTAGAGGATGCGCCTCGGTATTCAATACCCACTCGTCCAAGTTTGCCAAGTCCCAATCACCAAAGATCAAGTAGAAATATTTGAGTGTCTCAGCAAGCCAGAAGCTCTCCATGCTATCCACCTGCACCGGCTTCTTCACCGTTATGTCATCTAACGCTGCCGCGGCGTACTTCGATCGTGTCCACTTATCGACGGCTTCGAACATGGCCCACGCCTGCTCCATGTATTTGGGATCTCCTGTCATGCGCCACATCATAAACACGGACTCGATGGCCTCGGGCCGCAGTAAGTACCGACGGTCGTCAACATTAACCATACCGAGAGGCAGATGCCGCGCCTCTATGATGTTGTCTTTGACCTGCTTGTCAGAAAGCGTATCGCCCTTCATATTGCGACCCCAAAATTTTCTAATTGCCTCCGTCCATCGCGTCTCGCTCCACTGACAGTCGTCCTTAGTAACATCCGGGTCACAAGGGATGAAGCGGAATAGCTCGGGTCCAATGCCTGAGTCGGTTTGGTTGTACGACCACACACAGCCCTCCGTCAACTGCTCTGCTATAGCTAGGTCTGACGGGCGATCGAAGATTTTAGCTGCCATACCCACCATACCTCCTGCGAAGCATGTTAAATGTTGCGCTATCGGGGTATTCACAATCTGCTCGCCGCCCTCGGGCATCGAGACAACCCTAGTGTCGCCGAAGAAGAGTAGCTTGAGATTGTCCGGATTTAAAGCACGACGGAGAAGATGTTTCTTCGCAACATCAATAAAGTCTTCATACATCCTGCGAGGCTGATCAAGAGCGCCTCCGAGCAATAAGTACTGCTTTCCTAGATATTCAAATGTACTATCGGCCATTCCACCGAGAGTGAATGAGTCTCCAGAAGATTTAAGAGGCGTCTTTGAGGGGTCCACTATGATCGGCCATATCCCCGGTAGCGCAGTAGTCTTTTGGTCTTTTTCTAGGCCGTCGGCTATTCTTTGTACGACATCGTAATATTGCATATCACCAGTTAATTGGGATAGCTTCGTAAGTTCAAGACTTAGTGACCCGACTTCGGCTAACAGAGCATGTCCCGGAGCGACCTGTGGCTTACCCCTAGCATATTCCTTCCAGGGGAACCGCGTTATGGGCATGTGGTTCGGTGTGTCAAAACATGACATCACCAAATCAGCAACCTCAGTCGCCTTTTTAAGAAGGCCCGGATATTGCTTCTCACTTAGTTCGTATGCCGCTAAGAAACCCCCAAGATATCGAATTGTCGTCTCGAAAATGTTGATATCACGAGTCTCCGTAGTTGTGAAATCGATTGTCTCGCAAGCCTTTACCGCAGACTCGAAATCATCTTTCATATCAAGGAGCCATAGACTGTCTAAGGAATCAACCAGGGTTGCTGCCCACCCGGCAAAGGGATCCTTATACAACCCCGAGAGGGGTTTGATCTCATCATGACCCCATGCAAATTTCTTGTACCCATTCCAACTGTGTTTAAAGCTATCCTTGATAGCAGCAAGTCTTCGTAGCCGCAATTCCTTATCAGAAGCAGTCTCCTTCGGTCTCGCAACTTGCACACGCGGTATTCGTTTGGAAGGCTTGTTGGTCGGGAGCGTAGCGAGTTTTTCCACGGGGTGTTGAGGTGGACGCTTTTCCCACTTTAGGCCTTTGGAACCAACCGAAGCCGACGTAGGACGATTTCCCGGACGGCGTGTATGACTAAAAACACCCGAACCGGCGGGTGGGTGCCAGCTATAGTACCAAGACACAAGTCCCCAGATGGTAATCGCAGCAAGAAGTATTCGGACTCGTCGAACACCCATGGCTGCACCTATATCGGATTGGGACGTAGATCTAACGTATATTACTCTAACAAGGCTTCAAAGCTAGCGAATGCAGTCGGAAGGAAGCAAATATTCACATCGCTCGAGCACGGATTGTATAATATCAGCCCGGAGAACTGACGAAAAGGTCAGCTTTCCTAGAGGTAAGCTGGTAAGAGATCTTGAATTCGTAGCTAAACATCAGATGAATGAATTTATTACTGTTATGGATTCGAGTAGCGGGGCGAGGTTTATGTCATGGTTCGCGGAATGGGACTCTGTGGGACGCAGTTAAGGGAGTCTTTATTTAGGTGGTATTTTTTTAGTGGTAGTAAAGTCCGAATTGAAAGAAAAATAAACTTGAATTTTAAAAAAGGGGTTCACATGACGGAGCTTCCCTGTCAAGCTCCCGGTTTTCCGTTTCCGCTTCCGCTTCCGTAAGCCACATAAGGTTATCCCCATTCTCCACCGCATAGTCACTGGCCCAAGCTCCTTTAGATAAATATATAGATAAAGACTATTGACCTAGTAAAGTCTTCAGAACAACTGCAACTGTTGTCATAGTTGATAATTTTTTCAGTAAGTGAGGGAAGGTGATTAATTCTAGAGTTATCTAGTAGTTAACTAGATGTAAATTGTTCCGTTCCAAAATCTCGCTTCTAACTGTAGCACCATCGACCCTGTATGATTATAATGAACAAAAATATAAAAAGCATCTATATTAAAGGTATCTGTTATAGCATGACCTAATCTGTAGACTAAGCGCTGTAGGCATATCTATAAGAATAGTTTAACATAACATATAATTTAGAGGTAACACTCTGTCATTTTAAACATCTAGCCCCATGAAGAGTTAGATAAGTCAAAGAGTTCTAGCTATATTTAACCTTTTCATATTTAAGCCCTTGCGAAGACCCTTGAGGTTATCATATCGTATCTTAAAGAGTTTAGGTTATGAAGGAAGTCATCATGCAAAAACAATACTAGATGAGGGACGGTATCTCAAGTTAATCAAATGCTACATAAGGGACAAACTACAAGACTCCGGTCGTAAGATTAGAGACTTAGAAATTTCACAATAGCAAAATAGTAGTGTGGGAGGGGACGTTAAGTCACACCAAGATTGACGTGCTATTGTTTATCGGGAAATATAGAGTCAAGACAGCCGTTGGTGGAGGAGATCCTGCCCGTCTTTCAGCCTAACACCATTCATGTGTATATCACCACCCGAGCTGGCAATGTCAGCTCAATCAATAGCGTCCCACTGGCCACGGTCCCGAGAGAAGGAAAAAGCTCATCGCAACATAAGAAGTGGGTATGACGGCAACAGGTTAGCTAAGGTCTAACAAGTTCCTGTTTTCTTTCTCCATTTTATTTCTGCATCATTAGCTGAACGAACTCGTTGTCTAGTAGTGCAAGTTAGTATGGTTAGAACATTTAGTTTATAAGGAGTGTTTACTTACAGTCGATGCGGCCGTCACCATCCTGGTCAGCCTCGCGAATCATCTCATCAACCTCGTCATCAGTGAGCTTCTCTCCAATAGAAGTCATAACGTGGCGGAGTTCAGCAGCAGAGATGAAGCCGTTGTTGTCACGATCGAAAACCTATTTGAATATAAGCGACTGGGTATTTGTTTGCGTGGCTAAGAGATTCGAACCTTGAACGCTTCTCGAATCTCCTCCTCAGAGTCGGTGTCCTTCATCTTGCGTGCCATCATGGTCAAAAATTCTGTGCGACCCCAACGTCAGTAAGGCTCCGAGGTGGTACGACTTTGCGCCAGGCAGCAACAAACTCACCAGGGAAGTCAATGGTTCCATTGTTATCGGCATCGACTTCGTTGATCATGTCCTGAAGCTCAGATTCGGAGGGGTTTTGACCCAGCGATCGCATGACGGTACCTAGCTCCTTTGTTGTGATTTGTCCTGGCAGTCATAGGTTAGTCGACTTGGTTCGTTGGTATAAAGGCACGAGGCAGGCGAAGTAGACAAAGGTATTTGTGGTATAATTGCTTTTATCGATTCAAGCAAAAGTAGTATGGTTGTCAATATCGAGATAGTAACTTACCATCACCGTCTTTGTCCTATGCGAGCTATTAGCGGGTACGTCATCAAAGGCGAGACAATTTAGTAGCTAGTATTGATAGCTATGAAGAGTAAAGAAATAATATAGATCTGGGAAACACTTACAAAGAGGGAGAACGCCTCCTTGAACTCGGAGACTTGCTCTTCGGTCAGAGAATCGGCCTGTGATGGTAGAAGACGAGGTCAGCGCGAGCCCTATTTTCACCTCCTTAGAGCCCCTCATCGGCGGGGTTCTCTCTGGGTTGGCGGTGACTGTCTGAGTAGAGACATACCATGGTTGAGCTGTTTTTCGAAATGCGATAGATATGTATAAGTTTATGATGAAGTTGTAAGGGAGCGAAAAGAACGAGTGTCACTTGTTCGCTATCGCAGTTAACTACAGAAGTTGTAAGTTTGCCAAGGAGGAAGAAGGGCCTCTGGTTTTGAAAAGCGTCAAGGGTTGGCTCAATAATATTAGGAACAAGGCAGGGCTGGATTCCATAAAAATAGTGGGGAGGAGGTGGATGATGGAGGGGCTATTTTTTGTATTTGTACGGGAAGTTATTAGGGGGTACCTCCTTAAAAGTTAAGGGGGGGTAGGGGGGAAGCCACTTTGGACTTATACGTACGGATAGAGGCAGCCGAGAAGTACCTTAAACCAAGAGGGTTAGACTTTTATTTCTCTATTTCTCTATTTAGGTACTTTCTTTATCTTTATTCTCTATTATTACCTCATACAACTGCAACATATCAAATTTATGAGAATTACATGTATACATATACTTAAAGTCCTATCAAGTCCTACATAACTAATCAAATGCATATCTACGAAGTATTAGGTAGGTTAGGTACATATGGTGCGACTAGAAGGACCGTGCGTTATAAGATGTAGCTCATGCTATGTATGTATACTACACTATTCGGGCATATTTATTAGCGGTGGAGGTTAGTAGGTCGGTACATGTAATAGGCTAACCTATTGACTTGCATCTATCCGAACCATTAACGCACGTTTAAATGCCAATCAAACCCGAATATTGAATCTACATGCACGTATCTATATGCGGATGTTCGTGCGGAATGCTCGTCAGCCCTGCAACCCAAAAAGGAGAGTACGGGCCAGACTGGTCGGAGCTACGTCAGCTGTAAGGGAGCTGGCAATTCTACATCTACATACATACCAAGTACACTGTAAATCTGTACAATATACAATATACAATATTGAATCTATGTAGACTCGATGCTCACTTTTTATCGTTCGATTACTAACGGCTTAACGCTTAACATAACATCGCTTTTCTAGTTTTTTACCATATCGTCTCTTATACCCAATTCCTTTCCTTTCCTTTCCCATCCGTATCAGAATAGCCAAAGTGAGGGTGTTAACACCTTCTATCCGCGTCCGCCATGTGGCGAGACCGCACCAACCTGTGAGCCTAGCCCACTCGTTATATATATATAGGTACCTATATATATATATATATATCCACGATGTCGCTTAAGACTTACAACCGAAACTTAATGTAGCTATATATCCTACCGCCAATCCTACGCCCACCACCCAGCCAAGAAGACGCGATACGGTCCCGGCCCCAGCAGCGACAGAAATGGCTTCCCGGAATTCGCCCGCGGTAGCGGCACCAGCGCCGAAGACCAGCAGGGCCTGCTCTCGGGCGCCGACTACCACGACGACGGCGACGCCGTCATCGAGATGGATCTGCTACCCCCGCGCTGGGCCGACATCAACGACGAGGTCTCGGACCTACTCGCCGAAGTCGCCCGCAAGTCGCAGACCCTCGAGCGCCTACACCAGAAGCACGTGCTGCCCGGCTTCAACGACGAGGAGGCCAAGAAGGCCGAAGAGGGCGAGATCGAGCGCCTGACCCAGAGCATCACAAAGGCCTTCCACGACTGCCATCGCTGCATCCAGCGCGTCGAGCAGATGGTGCGCGACGGCAAGCAGAGCGGCAGCATGACCAGGGCCGAGGAGACCATGGCCAAGAACATACAAATAAGCCTTGCGACGCGGGTGCAAGAGGCAAGCGCCGGCTTCAGGAAAAAGCAAAGCGCATACCTAAAGAGTAATTCCGCCCTTGAAAACGTTGGCGATTAGACCCCTTGTGCTAACACTTGCTCCAGAGCTCCGCGGAATGTCCGGTCTAGGCGCCACATCCCCCATCGGCGAGCGCAGCTCGACGCCCCTCGGCGGCAGCAGCAGCAATAGCAACAACTACGCCGCGGACCCGTCTCTCCTCGAATCCGACGCCGACCGGTCGTACTCGCAGTCCGCGCTGCAGCAGACGACACAGCAGCGCCAGCTCCACTCCAACGACGCGGTGATCCTCCAGCGCGAGCGCGAGATCGAGGATATCGCGCAGGGCATCATCGAGCTGTCGGACCTGTTCCGGGACCTGCAGACGATGGTCATTGACCAGGGCACGATGCTCGACCGCATCGACTACAACGTCGAGCGCATGGCCACCGACGTCAAGAGCGCCGACCGCGAACTCGTCGTCGCCGCCGGATACCAGAAGAAGACTACTAAGCGCAAACTTATCCTCCTACTCGTCCTGCTCATCGTTGGCGCTATAATACTCCTGGCCTTGAAACCGAAAGGCCGTGGTGGTGGTGGTGGTGAGGGGGGAAGTAATGATGGAGGGACTGACGGGGGTGGTGACGGGGGCTGATGAGAAAGCATTTCTGGGTTATGCTTGTTGTACGTTTGGGACGTTTGTAGGAAATACGGTATATCATATTTTAGCTCAGGCCATGTCACTGAGCTATTCGAATTGGAATTGTCGAGCCACCTATCATGGGCATGGGAGGCACTGACGAAATCCTGTATCAGACAAGTTTATTTAAATCTTAATTCTGTCTTATGAAGGTGTATACCCTCTCGTCTATGATCTATATAAATATGTGGGTATCTTTATTGTATATTGTATATGTACATATAAGTAGGCGTTAGATCTATGCTACAACACGATACGAAGTTGAGGTACTGTCCTCCCCATACTTTGTAGATACTGTTTATCTCGTATCATCAACTTACGACCGCGAGTCTCAATCTCCTCTTGGAGCCTCTCTAGCGGTGGAAGGAGTTCTTCTCCCCAAGCCTCATCCAGGCAAGATTTCATTTCCTTCAACGTTAGACTATTGTTCGCTCTGGCCACTTGCCATCCTCTCCTCGTTGGATAACCAGGCCCATAGAAGGTGATTAGGCGTAGTTTAATCAGAGCAACTAAGTGGGTTTTTTCAATAAGAACGCCCCGGTCGTAAAGACTTCGTAGCAATCTAACAGCTCGACCGCCGCCGGATTTTAGATATCGTTGACGATGACCTTGCATGGGAGTGATTTCGTTGGATTGTTTCGGGGAGGAGTAAAATGAATAGCGCACGATAGTCCCTAATAGCTTATTATCGAATATCTGGCGTAACGGATGCAGGGGTGCCTGGATTGGCAAGTCCAAAGGAACATATACACCCAGGAGATTTTCAACACCGGATAGCGGCTTTTTCATGGATTCCGGTATATCTTCTGGGTGTACAGGAGCGAAACCCGGGCGAGAAGACTGGAAGGAAGTAAACATATCTGCCAATTCAATACTGAGTTTTTCTAGATCGTCTACTCTGCTTTGTCGAGCAAGACAGAACAGTATCTTCCGCCAACAGTCAATGGGTACCGGGATTTCCATAGCCGCAAGTTGTCGGCAAATAGGTAGGTAAAAATAGAGTGAGTCTTCAGGTAGAAATGTCGACTTAGCTTCGCTGATTAGACTGTCAAAAATGAGGCTTGTCTGGTTAGAATCGAGTGTGATTTCCATTGCCTTCATATCGTCTAAGAGCTTCGAGAGCCCTGCTCGGTCTTTGTGCAGAATATAAGTTTCAGCAAGTGCGTTGGCTGTTTGGCGAGTTGACTTATCCATCACTGCTAGCCGTGTAGCTAACATAAGCCGATGAGTCCTCCAATCTTCTGAATTAGCCGTAGAGACAACGAGATGCGACTGTAGCTCAGCATCATCAAATACATCCGGATGAAGGTCGCTATGTAGAAGGTCAAGAAGAAGCTCATTATCGTTCATCTTGGCTAGATAGAGGACCAATCTCAAATAGTTAGATTCGATAACTGAAATCCCCTGCTCGCGTAGTTGCTCGATACGCTTTAATACGCCCTTTGATGTTCCTTCTCTTAGCGCGATTGATTGCAACGACAACGGTCCAATCTCACCAATGCCTAAAGCGGAGATTGTCGATATGGCAGTATTCAAACTGACCCAGGAGCTGGCCAGCCACTTGGCTCCTAGTCGATCGTTATAATTCTTGACGCTGATGCCGAATGTTCCGCCGTGCACACGATTCATGAATTCTCGAGATATTTCAATTTTCTCCGCATCTTCCTTTGACTCAAAATTCAAGTTGTCGATCACGGCGGATTCCTCGGGATGAAGTGGTACATGAGGGAAATATCCCTTCAGAAATCTCAGAAAGGGCCGAGCAGAAACGTGTGCTAGTGGTAAATCGTCATGTCGAACGCAAGTACGTCGCCATTGTGCCGCTAGCCGGGATGCGCCTAAGTCGTACAGATATGGGACGAGGATATCATATAGCTGACGATTGGAGTTTATTATGTACAGGGACTCGAGAATAGGAGTACGGTACAACTCTTGATCATTTGCAAACTGCTTGATTATATTCGCAAATTCGTCTGCTCCCGGGTAAAAGTTCGGAGTTAATCGTAGTTGCCACTGCAGAGCTTGATGGTGTTGGTGAGTGCGCAAAAAATGCGACAGAACTGTCGAGTAGAGATGCGGCCATTTTACACCATGCATCTCATACATCCACTCGCTGTAAACCCAGACACTCGTTAGGAACTTGTTTTCCCTGGACTTCACTGCGGCCTCTAACATTGTTTGCCAAAACGCAGGCGCAAGCGGATTCTGGACATCGTACAGCGACTTGCGACCCCAGAGACCTTTCCAAACGCCCCAAACGCCTAGGTCCCCATTAACTCTCTTTTGGTAATCCAGGAGAGCACTCCATAAGGCAAGATCATTACGGTTTTCGAATTTGTCTACCAACAGCTTGCTGTGCCATTCTTTGGCAGGACCGCGCCGGTCAAAGTCAGACTCGACAGAGAGACGGTAAGGGTCGGTCAACAGAGCTCTCCATTTCCCAAATAGCTTCGTCTCTTGAATTGGGGGAAAGGTCGGCTTCTGTTGCTGCGTAGGCGCCTTCTGTGTCACTTGGACTTTATCGGATAGTTCTGACAAGAGAACATCAAAAGGGCTTTCCGAGTTGTTCGAGGACGATGCTGAGAAATAGTACCGTGAATTATTTCCAAGTTCCGGTGCGGGTAACCGAATACCATATCCATGCAACTGAGGGCGCTGGAGTGAAAGTGGGAATCGAGGATGGAGGACAAAACGCTTTGGCTTCACATCTCGAAGGGTTTTGCTCACCAATCGCATTACTGCCACACAGTCACATACTGCTAGACAACTTAGTCAACGGGAGTAGCCTCAAAAAGAAGAGGAAACGGTGAAGTAAAGATCCCGAAGGTATAGAGTGACCTAATTGCTGCATAAGGAAAATAGAAATTTGAAAGATGCAGCTTAGATCGGATTGATACCTTAGGTAAGGTATTTCGGTACTTTTCGACTTAAGCCAATAAGAAAATCGTAGTTGCGCCCATTGGACCGCCATTAGGACAGGGGGGGTTAGTGGGGTTTACGCTAGTTATACAAGGCTTAGCCGAGGTTTTAACGATTAGTCATATTAGAACACTACCCAATCCAGATCCAATCATTCGATGTTTGAATCGCTTCAATTCAAGCTTTCGACAACAGCTCTTCATACACTCTCGGATCCGTAAACCTACTTCCGAACAACCCTCGAACATCTACAAAATGGCGTACGTGTGCACCCTACGTTCAGATATCCTTCCGATGGTTCATATAAACGTCAATGGCCTTATTCCGTCTATGCGCGGATTCGAATATCTTTACGATGGGAATGAGTTTAGCTTCGTTGATGTATACTAACCAGCTGTGCAGTCTAGTCAACGCCCCAAACAAGGTGCCTCAACACCAGCGATTCTACCAGCAAGCTTATAACCAGCACACCCGAGTCTGGAAGATCGTATGTGTCTAATTTGTTCATATGCATTTTGCCCGAGGCCATTTTCGACTGACCGAATATAACGCAGAACCCGCGAAGCAACTACCTACTTGTCCCTTACCAGGTCCTACTCTGGGGCAGTTTCGGAGGTTCGTTCATCATATTATAGATATTAATACGGCAAATTCTAACAATGACTGCAGCTTCTATGTACATGATGGGACGCAAGATTCTAGGCTACAACACGTGGTTCGGCAAGAACTAGACTAGGAAAAAAGAGAAGGCGAATAGCATTGTAGACGAGAGAGGCGAGGACGACCACATATGTCCTGTTAGGCTGAAGAATAGACGGCTGTTCATACAATCCCTACGAGTTTCCTTCTAGTTTCGAGGACTTCATAAATCAACCCTCTTATATCCAAGAAGTCGCGAAGTTGATGTAGAAATTGATGTAAATCAGTCCATTACGCCCAAGGCACAATATGCCTCTACAATGCCTGCTATTTACTCGTACATGAATGTTTTCTCTAAGCAAAGACTACGTTGGTAGTAATCCACCCTCGAATTACTGTCAATACATCAACCAGCTGGTAACTTCTATTAGTTGGTCATCCCTGTATGCTAGTATTAAGGACATGTCTAGTATCCTTCGGCTCCGGGGGCCTTCTCGTCCTTGCGCAAGCTCATCAGTAGTTCACGGAAGCGCTCCTTGCCCGAACCGCTAGCACCGCCCTTCTGGCCTTTGCCGCTCACATCCACTAGCTTAGCAATGCGCTCCCAGCTCGTACCGCCGGAAGTTGTATCGTCTCGGCTGGCTAGGAATTCTTCTGCCTCCTTTCGAGTCTGCGCGATCATCTTCTCTTTCTTGCTGTTGTAGTTCTCGTAGAAATCATCAATGTTCTGTTGAGCTTCCTTGATAGTCTCGGCCTTCTGGGCGGCAAACTGCTCAGCTCGTCGAGCGTTACCAGCATCCCTCTTTTCGCGCCACTCCTTGATCACTTCAGGTTCCTCCTCTTCTCCGACATAAGCGTTAAAGCCAGAGTTGTAACTGACAGACGGACCAGTGATAGTACCACCAGGTGCGACTTGCTGTTCATTGATCATCATTAGAACACAATCTTGCTACAGCTAACTCAGAAGTTACAAACCTCGTTGGGAGTGTTGATATCGGGGAATTGGCTCTCGAATTGGGCACTTTCGGCGCCGCCTCCTAGAAGATCGTCGGATGAGGGATCCGCAAGGGCCGCAGACTCGTTGCCCGTGGTAAACTGCGTGGCGTCATCGCCAAGGAGAGCGCGTTCTCGAGCAAGGAAATCGTCGGCTGATGGTGAACCGACATCTTGGATATCGGTCTGGGCTAGCAAAGAGAAATTGGGAGTGAGCGACAATTGCTAGATTAAAAACAAAAAGTAAGGGGGTAGCTCTACTTACCACCAGAATCAAAGTCGTCTAGCGACGGGAATCTATCTGCCATATTGACAACAACAATGCGATTGGGAGTTTAAGTAGGTTTGTAGGTGATTTCTAGCTACTAATGATGTACGTCGAGGTTGTAATGTAGAGATTCTTGGGAGAATTAAATGATATGCAAGAACAAGTCTTAACACTCTTGCAAGGCTTAAGCTGCAGCCTCAGGTCCGAATGTTTTGTATGAAGTACAGATTACAGTTGCATGCATGGATCAGGACACAGTGTGTTCAAGGCGTTAGTCACATTAATTATGGCGATGGGCACTGTCCACATCTTATCATTCCAGGTACTACCTAAACACTAAATTACCTAACGTTGATGCCTTGGAAAAAGTATGGCAACTTCCTATTGATATAATTGGTAAAAATAGCCCGTGTACAACGCTAATATCACGTGCTCCAATCATCTAAGATCTACGGTATTATGTACGTTCCCGCTCATAGCTCCACTAACTTCCATTTTATGCATCTTACCTCTAACAACTACTTAAGCTAGATATCACAAAACAAAACAAAACAAGCAGAATCAAGCAGCTGTCTGAATTGGTTTTTACCAACCTTACTGCCTTTTGCTTTGTGCTGGACTCGAGTTACTTTCCCTTATCTCATGATATTTCGCAAGTAGGCTAGTCTACCTCTAAGAAATATCTGCGCGTCTTCAGCCCGCGTCAAGATGAAATCCTGGTAGCCAACTGTAGATTGATTCATCAAGTAAACTACATTCCAATTCACAGAAGAGCCCATTCAATCCAGCACAAATCCCTACTCAAACTCAAACTCAAACCCTCGATTCAACAAGTCATTATGGCTTACACCGACGATGCTGTGTTGGCCAAGCTCTCTGCCCTCTCCGAGGCGGCAGACAGCATTGTGTCCGTATCCCAGTGGATCATGTTTCATAGGTAGGCAAACTCGAGCACATGCCTATTAAGCAATCCGTGCTGCCTTGTAGATAATCACTGACTTGTTTGTCGGACATCAGACGCCATGCAGATCGAACAGTGCAACTGTGGCTCCAACGCCTTAAAGATTCTACAAGTCACAAGCGATTGAATCTCATCTATCTTGCCAATGGTATGTGTTATCAACCCACAGGATCCCCCCCAAGCCGCTGTGCTTGTACCAATTGCCCCTATTTCTTCAAAACCTGACAGTTTTGTAGAGGTTGCACAACAGACGAAAGCTCGTCATAGAGATGATTTTGTTGTAGCATTCTCGCCTATTATTGCGGAAGCCGTCGCCACCGCTTACAAGGGCGCATCGGCCGATATACAGCAAAGAATCAAACGGGTTGTTGACGTCTGGAGAGAACGTGCTGTCTTCGAGACGCCAATCTTAGAAGCGATAGAAGCTCGCGTACAAGGTAAACCCCCGTTTCCTAATGACATACAATATTATACTAATTATACAAAGAAATCAATGAGGCCCGCGGTACCGCTAAGGCCGGGCTGGGTGGCTCGATATTCGGATCTGCTTCTGTTCCAACGGAGCTGGCCCCCCTGACAACTCCTCAGCAAAACGTGACGAAGCTACTTCTAAGTACAAAGTCTACCGTCAACATAGCCAATCAAGAATACGACAAATTATTGGGCCCTGGAAGTACTGCGCCTTCGGCCCCTGTGTATGCTGCTCGTCTAAGCGGATTGCTGAAGACACTAGCCCAGGCGGAAGGAGCAGTAGACCAATGTGTGAAGGCTCGCCGGGAGCTTGTTGCAGCTTTGCAGAAAGTCCTAGACAGCAACAGAAACGCACTAATATCTGAGGAAGATCAGCTAGAGACTTTCGTAAGACGAAGAATGGAAGTGGAGGATAAGAAGACCGAGGTCGAGAGAGCAATTATGGCAGGACTTCCAGACGATGAGCCTTACTTCAGCAATGGCCAAAATGATCATCCAGATCCAGAGCCTGATAGACCAGAGGTTGAAGAACTTACACCACCGCCTATGGAACCGGATTTTCCGGGAAACGCCGACATGACGGATAATACAGGTAGTACCCAAGAAACCACCGACCAACCGCCCACCGTGGAGGATACCGACACTCACGCTAATCTCAGCGTCCAGTATAAGTCGGTGCCAACTACGATGAACGGGTCTAAGAAACGCAAGCTCGATGATGGCAATGATTTTCCCGACTTAGGAGAAGATGATGGCATCGACTCGGACGTGGCCGAGATGCTTCGTAGAGATAGCAGCGGTTCGTAATCTTGGCAGACATGGCTCGAGCTAACTTTGCACATGTCCCCTAAATGATGTCTTGAAGATATTAAGCAGAGAGTGGAGACGAATCGATGTATATTAATGCCAGTTTTGTGTTTCAGGGTGGCTCTTTTTGATTTCTAATGCCAAAATCATACGAGCTTACTGTTATTCTCGTTCACCAAGGATACATCGTCTTTTTTCTACTTATGGTATAGGCGTATGGCTGTAATCCATACAGAATAATTATAGACCTTATTTACCTACTCATAAAGCAGGCATTGTACAATGTCAGCCGATTTGGCCCTCGGAGATCTTAGGTTTAATCCGACTAGTTATATCACCTTTCGACGAGTATATGTATTCTCGACAATGCACGTAATGTTTCAAGCTAGCTAGCTTGCTTACCCCTTCTTAACATGTATAGGAAAGTAGAATTCAGAGTAGCCCAGTTTGTTTATTAGAAGCTTAGGTAGGTACCGGCCTACCTTTTATGTACTTAAGTACTTTAGGACCTATTTAACTCTGCACTAGACTCTACAAGGAATTGAACGTGACAGACCGGAGTTGTGCCGATTAACTCTAGGTGCAAGTACTTGAATGATGCATAAGCAATTCGAAGCTTCAGCGGTTTTAGTGAATTACTCCGTGTAGATGACGGCATTCTTCTCAACTTTTTTTTTTCTTTCCTTTTTACCACCGAGGTTGCCAACGAAACTTGCGCGGCGAAAATAAAAGATAGTGAAGCTCAAGTCAGCTTCGCTTCGATGGTGCGAACCCTCCGCAAGGGAACACACCTAAATCTATCCATGACGACCCGGCGAGAATAAAGCGCACAAGATGCCTTCGGGAGCATTGGGCCGCGCTATAGTGGGAAGCCTCCCGCAACGTGGTGCCGGCGTCGCAAAGAACTTCTCCCACCAATCCGTCCTTTTACCATGTCATATGTCCTCCGTCCTCCCTAAACGACTAATTACTCCGGAACTTCCGTCACGACCGCTCTTCCAGATTTCTCCTACCGTTTTCAAGACGAACTATCACTCATCTTGTTCCATCCGATCGCAAACACCGCTAGCCTTTTCTCCGAAGCTCGGCGTTACTTCTACGTCACGAATACGAACATCGAACTCGCCATGGAAATCGCCATGGAAATCGCCAATTGGTGCGCTGAGACAACTATCTACAAATCAACCGTCTAACCGAGAGAATCTTAATGTGACTATCCCGAGTAACGAAAAGAGGGACATCAGTATCGTTGCTTCAACGGCGGCTAAGACTGTAGAAGACGTTGCGCAATCCTACGAGGGCTTCGGCAAAACTGAAAAAGCTTCTAAGGCGGCTCAGGTCAACTTACGCGCTCGTCTTTCCCATGATGGGAAAGATAGCAAGAAAAGCTCGGCCTCGTTCAACGAAATATGGCGCCTCATCAAGATCGCGAAGCCAGAGGCAAGGAATCTTATTATTGCCGTGGTATTGCTGCTTATCTCTTCGTCTCTCTTCGTCTCGCTCCCCCTGGTTGTCGGCAAAGTCATGAATGTTGCTACTGCGAAAGCTGCAGCAGATACAGAAATGTTCGGCCTGTCACTCTATCAGTTCTTCGGCGCTTTCGGATTGGCTCTTACCCTCGGCGCATGCGCTAATTTCGGACGTATCGTCCTACTGCGAATCGTTGGCGAGCGAGTCGTCACACGCCTACGATCGCAGCTCTTCAGGAAGACGTATAGCCAGGATGCTGAGTTTTTCGATGCGAACAGGGTCGGTGACCTGATTTCTCGGCTCGGCACGGACACTATTATAGTGGGCAAGAGTATTACGCAAAATGTATCAGATGGATTAAGATCGATGGTGAACAGCGTTGCGGGACTCGCATTGATGGCCTGGATCAGCCCCAGTCTCACTGCTATTATCTTGCTCGCTGCCCCTTTCATCGGTAGCGCCTCTTTCGTGTACTCTCGCATCATTCGGAGGATAAGCCGTAAGATGCAACAGAACCTAGGAACTCTTACTAAGATCGCGGAAGAACGCTTAGGAAATGTTAGAACCAGTCAGGCCTTTGCAGGTGAGGCCCAGGAGGTCCGTCGGTACAACAACCAGGTCAGGAAGGTCTTTGAGCTTGGGAAGAAGCAGTCTATATACGATGCATCATATTTTTCTGGAACATCCTGGATGGGTAACATGACGATAATTGCTTTGCTCTGGTTCGGCGGAAATCTCGTCAGAGATGGTATAATGACAACTGGAGATCTTACTACTTTTGTCATGTACACGTTCTGGGCCGGTGGCGGGTTATTCGGCGTGGCCAACTTCTATTCAGAACTAATGAAAGGAGTCGGCGCTGCTACGCGTATCTTCGAACTTCAAGATCGAGACTCAGGTATCTCCTCGACTAAGGGGTTCAAAGTCACATCAGCACAAGGACCCATCAAATTCGAGAATGTTTCTTTCGCTTACCCTACACGCCCTGCTGTGATGATCTTCAACAACGTGAACTTCGAGATCCCATCGGGGACTAATGTGTGCATAGTCGGTCCTTCAGGCGGAGGAAAATCGACTGTGTCGTCTTTATTACTGAGGTTCTACGATCCTACCTCTGGCACCATTAAGATCAATGACATGGACATTACCAAGACGAACGCGAAGTCACTACGACGCCGTATCGGCATGGTATCCCAGGAACCAGTACTGTTTTCTGGCACAGTGGCCGAGAATATTGCCTATGGAAAACCAAATGCTACGAGGTCAGAGATAGTAACGGCTGCGCAAAAGGCTAATTGTGGGTTTATTGCCGATTTTCCGCAAGGTCTCGAGACGCAAGTCGGCCCCAGGGGCGCACAGCTCTCGGGCGGGCAGAAACAGCGTATCGCTATAGCACGAGCACTCATTAAGGACCCTGATATTCTCATCTTAGACGAGGCTACTTCAGCTCTAGATGCGGAATCCGAAACGGCCGTGAATCTAGCTCTGGCGGCACTACTCAAAGGCCGCAGGAGGACAACTATTTCCATCGCACACCGGCTCTCTACGATCAAGCGCTCAGAGAAGATTATCGTGCTATCTAACCAGGGCACGGTCGCCGAAGTGGGATCCTACGAGGAACTCAGCGCAAACCCACACAGTGAATTCACCCGGCTGATGGAGTGGCAGATGAGCGGAGGTGAGGTCCCAACCAAGGCGCAAGGCCCCGTACTCTCGGAATCCGAGATAATCGAAGAAGAGCTCGAGGAGGATAATGACGAGGAGCTCGGCGAAGAGGAAGAGGAAGAAGCAAAACAGAAACCGGAGAAGTAATAGTCACGCATCTCATAAACCATAGCATACAATTTTTGCATGAAAAACGGAACGGCGGTGAAAGTCTATTGCAATTTTTCTGGTTTCCTGCGTATTCAATGGGGCTCTTACAATAAAAAGTTCGTCTCTTAGAGAGGGAAGGGGTCACCAGGTATAAGACATGCACAGATACAGGGGGGTATTTGGGTGATAATGAATTGATAACTTGTATGTATATGTACGTGTAAAGTAATGCGTCCGGAACTCCACTCGATTTAGGTAAATATACCACGACGAGGCATAAGCCGGGCTCGGGATAGAGTCCGCGGAACCCTTGGATAGAAAGAAAGGAGAGGGTTGATGGCTCGAAGGGTTGTAGAATAATACATCTACGGCGTGATGAATAAAGGGGTAAAATATACTGTTTTACTGCTGTGGCGTTGTTGTTACTACCTATATGCCATTGACCCTATATACTATTGACTCGGTCTTTTTGGGGACTTTACTATGTGTATGCGGAAATTTAGAAAACTTGGAAATGGGAGTGAAGAGAAAAATAAATAAATAAATAAAATAGAAAAAGATAAAAATACAAGAAAAAGGGACAAAAAGGTGAGTTCAAACCTAGCACTTGACCTGAACAAATTGGCCTTTTTGTCGCCGCGACTTAGCCTCGAACTCGAATTAGCCCTTCATGTCCTTAACCACTAGACCACGGCCATGTTGGCAAGCAAATCTCGGATTGGGGCTTCGTGATAGAAGGTGCGCTTAATGCATCTTTTAAACTTAGCATGCGTGTGATTTCGTTGCCTGGTAACCATTATATGATTACCGGCTACAAGGTACCTACCCAAGTATCTAGGCAACGATGCATTTATGATCAAGGAATTCCCAAGGTTTACCTTTAGGATATATATATAGGATAGGATATTGTGTCAAATGCGAGTAAAAATTTCCTATTCGGAACGTATGCCTTACTACCTTATGCGATTTTTTCCTGCCTTACAAAAAGTAGTAAAAAAGAAAGAGATGACAAAAGAGGTAGAATCCTATTAAGGTATAAATAACTCAAAGGTAGATCCAGGAGTAAGTCTATTAGGAATGGGGACATAAGATGTGTACAACGCTCCCGTAAGAGGGTATATGAAAGGGTCAAGGGTAGGCATTCGTAGTTCAATATATCTTAATATTCATTAAGGATATAATACCAGATAAATACCAGGTATGGTGCGGTGTAAGGCTTAGGCTTTTGTGTTATCCGGAAGGTAACTTCGAGTATATACCTGTTTATCACATCGAATCAAGTTGTGATCATTTTCATTTTCTCCAGCTAGAATCATTCTGCGTGGAATAATTGCTATTGATATTACCAGACAACAGCAGCATCAGTTCGTAGTTACGAATAACAGCGAGTTAAAGCGTCGGATCATTTAAACAAGTATGAGCGCTCAACTTTAGCGCCTTAAAGTAGTGCTATATAAGATGTTTCCTAGGTAGTTGTGATATATTTGCTTGTAATCTCAATTTGAAGTATATTAAGGACGTTACACCACCCCCTTTTCCGCTACCACTAGCCAGCATCACAACCCTTACTACCTCATAAGACAAGCAAATGTAGGATTATCAACTTGAAAATACCTTATATAATACAATTAAAATCTATATTAGTAGCATTTAGTGAGATTGGTTTGATCACTATAATTCGAAAAACTATTTCAGCGGCGAGTAGCTCAGGCGCAACACATAGTTACCAGAAATATAGTTCCTAAAGATATAAGCTTCGAGTGGCAATAGCCTTGCTATACACAACCGAGTGCAACCTACGCTCGGTCAAGATTAATTGACTGATATAAAGTTGACGGGGAACTTAATTTTATTTACACAATATCACCGTCAGAATGTCACGAACGTTTATGGAGAGACTCATCTGATTGCCTCGATATGATAGATTATATTAAGATTTAAGTAATGCAATGGCTTTATATAATCACGTATATAGTTTGAAAATATCCAATCATTATTCCCCATAGGTAAATAAATAGTGAAATAGTGGATAATTACCGCCCGGTAAATCAAAGTTGATACCTATACACGTCTTAACTTCTCAAGTGACGTGTAATTACTAATAGTCATAGCACTCAGGTGTATAGCTTGTATATTATTTACATGTGGATCTATTAAGAATAATTACGATAAGAGGACTATTTTAGTCTGTGCGTGTAGGTAATAAGCATCACATTTAGGAAACGTTATTAAAACATTCATAGTTCCCGCATGGAAAATTTTGCTAACCATGACTTTGAGCTTTTTGGTAACCCCCTCGCTATGGGTGTTACGACTGTTAGAGTTATGGAAACGATTCAGTCACCCGAAAATTTGCAACTAAATACTTTAGGTAAACGAATATCATAGCCCCAATACGTACACTAACAGTGAATTAGGCTTTGCTAGGGAAGTCTTACCGTTATAAACCTCTCTGATGATTCCAAAACGACCATATAAGCGATCCAAGTTACCCAGTCCTTGGCCAATCCTCTGTCCTATTCCATTATCACAACATCCTAACAAGCCCAAGACTACTGGTTAAAAGCTCTACTACTTCAAAGCTGATAACACTCAAATATCTCATCAGGGCTATTGCTATTCGATTATCTTGTCAAAAATATTAACAAACGTCTCATCAAAACTTACCTACAACTCAAGATGTTGGATGAATCTATAACAAGCTTTTTTAACCGCTACCATCGCTACCCATCAAGACAGGAACGGGTGGTCACTCCGGCTTTCAATCTGGATTACACGCCCTTGCCGAAGCACGAAGAGGAGTAAGTATCTGACTCCGAAAGAGAACAAAGGAAACTTCTAACAATCTGCCTAGATCTGCGGATATAACGATTTGGCTGCCCGAATTTAAGAGAGAATGGCGAGTCCACAGAGACGTAATCACCGGCCAAAGCAACTTCTTTCGAATGGCCTTGGCCGTCCCATTATTAGTGAGTGACACTTTTCTTCGTTCTACCGACGGTACGCTAACTATAAGTAGGAGAGCAGGACCAAAGAAATCGAGCTCTACGAAATTGACGCTACCATAATGAACTTCATTGTAGTATTCATGTACGAAGACTGTAAGTACTTCACCGTATAGTTACTATCCTACTGTCGCTCCAGTTGTATACCACGGAAATACAGTTGCTAACTATATCCCACACAGGGTCCTCCGCAGCTACATCAGCCTTTGGACTAGAAGGCGGCGGCGACGTGCCGCCTCCGATAATCGCGGAGATCCTCATCGCCGCCGATTTCCTCGACATACCCCGGCTGTGCTACGCGGCGTACCACATGATGCTGTCCGGGATAGTCAGCCTGGTGATGCGGACCAAGGCGGAGACGACACGCTCGCGCGTCTTCGACCTCGCGAAACAGGCTTTCTGCATCGCGGCAATTACCTTGGAGATAAGCGGAACGAAGGTCGGCCTCGACTTGGCGGAGGCCATACAGAAATTCTTGGAGAAGACGAGAAGGGCGCAGGACTTGGACCGCGCGGCCGAGGCTTTCGTGGAAGCCTTCCCGAATGATCGCGCCATTATCGACTTGGAGCTTCAGTGGTAGGGCCTTGGAGTTTCAGTTGTATACGGGCGGCGGAATTGGAATACAAGGACAGCGAGAATGGTATGTGGACAGCGAGAACGAGCATAAACTGCTTGTACGAGTTGGTTAATTCAATGAAATATTTGGTGGTGGTATCTAAGAAGTTCCTAAGAGAATAAATATATGCGCCGTGACCGTCATCTAATCATTACGTACGTTTTCTTAAAACCAAGCTCGTAACGTCATCTCAATCACTCCTCACCAGCCCTCATCCTCATTAATTGCACTCTTATATCCTCCTATCTCCCTAGTGTCTTCGCCGGAATATCCCCAACAAGCCACGGTTGCTATCCGTGCTCGTTCGGGGTACCTTTTCCTTGTACGCCGTAGGTGATCCGAACTGCCTGCGTGGCATGCAGCACGAGACGGTCCAGAATGCTAACGCCACGAACATGACTGCGAACGCCACCCAAGAGATAGTCATAAACCTCGTGCCCTCGACGGCGGAGATGCCGTACTCGCCGCCCCGGTCGTTGATCTCAGACGCGCCTCTCTTCGAGATGGCCGTCGCGATCGCGGCGCCAACCGCGAGTGCCAAGGCGGCTAGTGCGGTAAGCGCTATGTTGGCGAGGATAGCTCCTCTCCCGATGACTTCGCGTCGTAGTGTCAGGACGATGATACACGATATAAACGATAGGCCGGAGAAGCCGGCTCCGAGGACGAAGAGGATGAATGTTGCTAATAGGAACTTGTTGACGTAGTCGATGGTCTCCTGGATCGAGTCTGGGATCGGGATGTCGGCTGCGTTGATGTTCAGGGGGCCGGCATTGATCTCCCTCTGGATGATGTCGGTGAGATTGAATTGGACTAAAAGCGAGCGTTAGCTATATCGGGCTTTATATAGTTGGTAAAATATGACGGTGTTCCTTACCTCCTGCGGACTGCGCTGTGCAGTTAGTCGTGTTGTACCACGCACCCGGCGAAGTGGCATTGGGCGCAAAGTTGCCCTCGCAAGCAGTCATGACATGTACGCTATACCACTGAGAAATACCTAGTTCGCGGGAAAGTTGGTCGGCAATGTCATTTGCGATATCGTTTAACTCGTCTGTGATTTGGCCTTCGATGTCGTCGAGTCCATCTTGGATGTCGTCCCAACCAAACCCGTCGTCGTTGGTGGCCGTGGGCTGGGAACCGGAAGAACTTGGAGTTGGCACGAGATTATAACCAAAAGTGGACATGTTAATCTAAAAACGAGGTTAGCTTGAGGTTTTTTGAAATATGACTTATGGGGTTAGGGACATACGGCAATGATATGATAGTTTTCCATCGATCGCTGCTGCGATCCGGAGCCAGCAAAGAGCGCTATCATTGCCAGCACGAATCCCACCAGCGACAGGAGGGTTGGAATAACCACCATTAGTGGCTTGGTATAGCCGCGTTTTACAGCCATATTTCCGTAGTTGATTAATGTTAGGATAATCTGATCAATTGATCCTCTTACAATCAGATATAGGGTTTATGTTAGTTGATATAAAAAATAAAAAGGGGAAGTCTCAACTAGTGAGATTCGATAAGAATTTAAATAATAAGAAGAACTAAAGGCGCAGAACAAAGCTAGAGGTAATGAAGTAGACTATTACATTGTCGAATATAATAGGAAATTCATGAATGTCGTACGTGGTACTTAATATGGCTCTCGGATAACAGCCTTGTATGTAATATATGTATAACGTGCATCATCTACTATCTACTAAAATAAAATAAAACTCCGAAAGGTCACCATTCGTTCGTCCGAATTCCACTTGTAAATTGAATGGTCCAAAGACACCAACGCATCTTGGTCTACTCTGTCAATCGACATATGCTCGGCATACGTATACGTACAAGTGTACCTTATCTAGTCTACTTCGAGACGAGAGAAAACTCATCATGTATGTAATCTACTCTATCGTAAGTACCAGCGATCAAAAAACATGCCATCCATGTATTCATGGGCTGCATCTGAGTGGGCAACGAGTTGCGTCACGGAGTAGTTTTGCCTCCTTTAGTCCATGTCGGTCTCTGTGATTGGCTGTTTATTAGCGTTGCGTCATAAGGGACCATTACAGAATTGACCCCCTGTAAAACCGGTTCGACACCTTGTAGCCAGTTAACCCCGGCAGTCATTAGGAACTAAGTACAACAGAGCGTCTTCTGAGAATAATCCGTAGCCATACGGTGATCTTTCTTGGCGGCCTCCCGAAACGGCGTCGCAGGTAGGGGGCGTTTAGCAGAAATATCGAAATAGCTGGAGTTACACGGTGACTAATGATGAGTGGGCCGTAGAAAGGTCATAAAGTGATTCAATCGTGGGAAAGCTATTGTAGGATGCCATTATTCTAATTGTTGCGAGGTGCCGGATAACTTGCCTTTGTGTCTCTATTATTCGCTAGTAATTCTCTTAGTATATTTTTGACATTGTTAGCAACGCGTGGTCATAATTTTGAATTCAATTCTAAAGATATCGCGGATTCTTTGAGCAGGGGTAGTAATTGTATCCTAAACTTAAGTTATTAGTCCTCTCGAATGTGTGAGATGTCTTTCATCCATAGCTATATCATAAAACTCCACGTCGCTGACTCTCTACAATCGCCATCTCACCGTCTGTAAGGGCATCTTTCTCCACGGTAATCCAACGTCCCCTTCCTGACCGCTGTGCTCTGATATGCTTTTCTACTGCTGTCGCAGACTCGATCCAATCCGCAAACCGAAGGACTTGACCATCTAATGAATAGTCCGAAAGGGCATACCCGGAACAAAGTCTCAGGGTTGTGATTTTCCCCCAATCACCCACCCAGTCAACAAAGTCGATAGTAAAATCTCCATCTGACTCTTCTCTCAATGCTGGGAACCAATCCCCACAGCCGGTCAAATCGAGGTACTCCAGGCTATATAGAGACTTGCTTAGACGCTTCAACACTAGTATCGCTTCCGACCAGTCGCCGTCTAAATTATGACTATAAGGCCCGGTGCCGCCATACTGAACGGTTCTTCCTGTTAACGGTGACGCCATCTTCGCAAATTTTGCATTTGGTGTCAGAGATGGTTCCGGCCAGCCAGACAGGTCGAGATGCGTAAGTGTTTGTAACTTGCTAGCTAACGAAAGTAGCTGCTTCCATGAAGCGACGGGCGCATTTCCGGGCTCGACTGCGAGGGATAGCTGTGTTAAGTTCGGTAAAAGCTTAATCGGCCCGGAAATGGGTTCTGGGGCTTCCCACGATTCCTGAAGATCAAGCTCGACAGCGACTGAAGGATATAATAGTTCACCTAACTCTTTCAATAGTATTGACTTCCCAACCGAACCGCTCAGGTCCAAACAAAACACGTCCCCGTTTAGTTTATCCAAATCAGGCTTTTCTACTTCGTATTGCGCGAGCTTCTCATCTGCGGGACCAGCAAGGATCAGTCGCAGGTCGTTGATAGACAGTCCTGGTTCATGAAGCTCCGAGATACAACTGATTAAGGCTGCCCGCAATTGACTGGGTAACGTATATAAGTAAAACTGATTCCAATGCCGCTGCTGCTCCCAATCTAGGGCCATCCGTCGTATTAGCCGATCCACGAAACTGCCATCGGCTGGGGTGTAGATACCCGGTAAGGGCCAGTGTTGAATATGTCCTCCAAGGTCTCTTCTTAGGTCTGCGGGGGCATGCCGCGACTGCGCCAGCGATACCCAACTGCGCGGTGGCGGTGGGCCTGGGGGTGGCCGTCGACCATGCGCATGGAAACGTTGAGGCCGTCGGGGTGCTGGAGCGGGTGTCTCGGGAATTTGGAGGATTTGGCGGATCGAAGGTGGAACGGTGGGAGTCGCTACGGAGAAGTTACTCGAGGTACCATTTTGTTTTATGCTAGTCCGTCGCAAATCTGCGAGAATTTGGTTGACGGAACGTTCATGCTGATCTACGCGATGATTTGTTAGACACGATGCGCACGTTCGGAGTTTGAGGGAGTTAAGAGATTAACTTACCAGAGGTGGTCCTCGATGAGGAGGACAGCGCAAGTGATGGCGGAGCTACTGAAGGTGGTTTCGAGTATTTGTTATTGTGTCTTTTCTTAGGCATAACAGTTGAGGATGGGATAAACCTATCTCGACTGTTTGCGAAAAGAAGAAGTCGCAAAAATTAAGAAGAGTGTGTAAGCAAATGAAGTAAAACCGACCCAACGGCGCAAGAATTGGAGATGACTTGATTGACTCATCGGAGATTATGTAATGAGCCGCAGATTAAACCCCTGTGCCTTTACTCTGTCCTTCCTTCCAGAAACCTACGAATCTGTTCTATCATACATGCCTCGTTTGTTTAAGTTTTTGTCATAAATCGTTTACCTTCATATCAACTTGACTTTATTTCAGGTTTATGCACAAGACTTCTATATTTTTCATACATTAGGTACTAAAGGAGAAGAGACTACGACGCTACAGAAAACAAAAGCTTCCAATCCACTTCACAACATCTGAATTTTGCGACATCAATTAGAATATACATTAGCTTTGCTATATACGTGTAATCTTACATTGCTATTCTACATTATACGCCCCTTGTACCTATTTCCAGAGAACCCCTCCATTGACTAAAGAAACCATTCAATCCCTATTTGTGTGAAATCATAACAGCAATTTACTAATTCATTCTCTTACACCTCTGGAGGGGCAGTTGCGTTATCTTGCCCAGGATTTGCCTCTTCGTAATGGCAGATCTTTACGAACCGGTAGTATCCGGCTGCGATTAAAGCACCTAGGAGAGGACCAACCCAGTAGATCCAGTGGTATCCCGGGAAACTTGGTCCAGCAACGGCACACCCGAGACTGCGTGCCGGGTTGAGTGAGCCGCCGGTGTAGAAAACGCCTATTGTCTTATATTAGTTGCGCTCCCTAGCCTAGTCGCTAGACATTTATCGTCTACTTACCAGGAATTTCAGCGACGAAGAGTGCTAACCCGATGCCTAATGGCGCTAAATACGTGTCCTTAGACTTTTCGGCTGCGAGCATGAGGATCACGAAGACCAGGTACGAGGTGAAGAGTATTTCAGCGAAAACACCCTGTGCCAAGTTCATCCCGGGAGCCAACGTCGTGTTCACTAATGCAATATCACCGGGAAACATGACTTTTACTATGGCACCCGCACACATGCATGCGATCAGCTGTGTCGGGATCAAAAAAGCTGCTCGCGCCCACGGTAGTTGGCCACCGAGACAGAGACCCAAAGTAACCTATTACACATTGAGAGGTTAGCTACAAAGCTCTTAGGGTCGAGGAGAGAATATTGTTCTCTTCAAGCTCTACACGTACCGCAGGGTTAAACAATCCTCCACTAATCCTGTAGAAGGCCCAAACGGTAACGAGAAGTGAGAAGCCATAGGCAAGCGAGATATAGATCACCTTCGACGCACCCGATGTTGCCGCCCCTTGGTCGAGTACCATGAGGTGGCCCGCATATCCAAAGAAAAGGAAAAAGAAGGTCCCGACAAATTCTCCCGTCGCAGCGACAAGATGTTTTTCTAACGGGTTCAGATGCCTATCGCGTGGTAGGCGCGGCTGGCTTCGCCGCGGGTGTCCATTTCCGTGTTCATTTCCATATCCATTAGATGGCTGGCGGCGCTTTTCATGGTGAGGAGGCATCGCGGCTCTATATGATAGCAGCCAAGTATTCCCCTGCAGTTTTGATTTTGGTCAACGGACTTGGCTATCCATGGTTTCCTGCAACTCCTACGAACTTCTTATATCTAGACTTCGTACAATTCGAAGCTTACGAGTCGGCTTTAACAATTAGTTTACGATGTGGTGGATCATGCATGATGTAACCAACTCGTCGGAATTGCTGCCGTTGAGTATCTAAACTCACTAAGTCACGCTACTAACGTGTGGTGACGGGAAGAATTTCTTAAGATGTTTACTAGTACTTGTTAGTCGTTGACTAAGACTACGCGTTCGACCTAAACGGGTAGAAGCATAGGAGCTTTAGTTCCTCGTCCAGTAATTATCTTGGGAAGTTGAGGCTCCGCACTTATTAATGATATCCGCTAACTGAAGTAGAGACTCCGCATCATCGTCAACTTGATCTACCGATGAGCATACTAAGTATCAAACATGTCAAAAGGCTGCTCGGCGAAGATCTGTAGCGATATGTTAGGTAGGCCTTCGTTTTCTCCTTCACGTATGGTTGCCGGACTCCACCTTTGACTCTATTTATGATAAGGAGTCAAGATGATTTTTCTTTACCTTCAAGTTACTACAAGAGGTGACCTAATGAGCCTGTTGGTTGTATTACGCATAATATAGGTACCTATAATTTTCCTGTATTACTATGATATTGCTAAAAAATAGGAACAACACCTATAATTGGTCGAAACAAGAGACAAGAAATCGTGCTACCTCTTGATAGGTAATATATATTGCCACCTTTGGGGCAAGATGATGCATGAAAAAAGATTTACCCATTGAAGTTATCTAAAATAGATTAGATTAATATAGGTCTATTCTGCCAAAACTTATTGCTTTAACAGGTATACCTACCACTTATAAAGCCGTATAATATATTTCTATAAAATTATATTATAATATAAAATTATTTAAAAATGTAAAAAATAATTAATTATATATATTATAATATTTTAAAATTTGATTTATTTTAATAATTAAAAATTATTTTTATTTTTTAAAATTTTTTTAAATTAACGTTTTTAATATATAATATTAATTATTTATTATTTTTTTAAATTTAATTCTTTTTAATCTTTTTATTATTTTAATTTTTTTAATTATAATAATTTTATTAATTTAATAAAAATTTTTTATAATTTTATTTTTTTATATTTTTATTATTATTTATAATATATTATATTAAATTTTAATATTTTTTTTTTTTTTAAAAATATTTTTAAAAATTTAATTATTTTATAAATTCTTTATATTTTTTTTTTAATAAAAATTTAATAAAACTATTAATTATTATAATTTTTATTTTTATATATAATATTTAAAAATCTTTTTAATTAATTTGGTTAATTATTTATTTATATTAAATATTAATATATTAAATTTAAATATTATTAAAAAGATTTAAAATTATTATAATAATATTAATTAAATTTAAAAATATAATAATTAATTTAAATTATTTAAAATTTAATTTTTTAAATAATTTTATAATTTATATTATTAAAAAATTTATTGTAATAAAATTAATAAATTTAATTTTAATATTATTTAATATTATTAATATTTATTTTTTTAAAAATTATTAAATAAGATATTTTATAAAAATAATAATATAAATATTTATTAATTTTTAAAATCTTAATATATTTATAAATATTATATTAATTTAAATTTATAATTTAAAATTTTTAATTATATATTTTTTTTTAATATAATATTAAATAATTTAATTATTTTAAAATATTATTATAAATATTTTTTAAATTTAAAATAAATCTTTTTTGGTTTAATGTTAATTTTTAAAAAATTATTAATTATTTTTATAATATTAAATTAAATATTTATTATTAATTAATTAAAAAAATTTATTTTTTAAATATAATTATATTTTTTTATTTTTATAATAAATAATTAAATATTAAATATAATAATATTTAATTTTTAGGGTAATTTAATATATTTATTTATATTAATATTATATTTAATTAAAGTTTTTTTAATAAATTTTTTTTAATTAATAAAAATTTAATAGGATTTTTTATTATATTATATTTAAAATTTAATAAATT